ATAGGTAGAAGAGAGGCTAAATTTTTCTCCGTCTCTGACCATGCCGGGCAAACCGGCGAAGAACTTAGGGCTGAATTCTGTATATTGGGAAAAATTTTATGGGGGGATAAGCTGGATCCTGTTATGGATCCGAAGCAGAAGCATGCTTCTGCTTCACATTTTTGCTTCACGTTTCGAATTTTTGAAACTTGAAGCAAATTTGCTTCGAGTTTTGAAATTTCGAAACTTGAAGCAAATTTGCTTCAAGTTTTGAATTATCGAAACCTGATCCAAATTTGCTTCAAGTTTTGAATTTTTGAAACTTGAAGCAAATTTGCTTCAAGTTTGTTATTTTTGATTATATAAGCAATTTTGCTGCAGCTTTTAAAATTTTGATTTCAGAAGCAATTTTGCTTCAGCTTTTAAAATTTTGATTTGTGAGTGGAATTTTTGAGTCTAAATGGAAGGATGGGTCCGAATAAAGGAAAGAAAAGGGTCTAAGAGGAAGGATGAGTCCGAAGTGACTCAAAGTGAAAGGATGAGTCCCAACTGAGGGAACACGAGGGCCGAAGGCCTGAAGTGACTCTAAGTTGAAATATGAGTCCCAACGGGGGAAAGAAGGTTCTAAGTGGAAGGATGAGTCCGAAGTGACTCTAAGTGAAAGGATGAGTCCGAAGTGACTCTAAATGAAAGGACGAATAAAGGAAAGACAAGGGTCTAAGTGTAAGGATGAGTCCGAATAAAGGAAAGCCAATGGTCTAAATGGAAGGATGAGTCCAAATGTGTGAAAGACGAGGGCCGAAGGCCCAAAGTGACTCTATTTCTGCTTCATGTTTTTGCTTCAGGTTTCGAATTCTGATTGGAAGGATGAGTCCCATCCTAATCGTTATAGGAATAGGAACATGTTACGAGCCCAGAACCAAGCGACCTTTGACGCCCCGCGAGGCGCGTGCCGCAAAACCCCGCGCGAAGCGCGGGGTTTTGCGGCACGTGAAGCAGAAGCATGCTGACACCCATCTAAAAGAGAGGGCGAGGGGCCCAAAGTGACTCTATCTCACTTTTGGCGAGGGGCCCAAAGTGACTCTATCTCACTTTTGGCGAGCTGACACCCATCTAAAGCTGACACCCATCTAAAAGAGAGGGCGAGGGCCAAAGGCCCGAGCTGACACACATATAAAAGGTAGGGCGAGGGTGGAAGAACGAGTCTAAGTGTAAGGATGAGTCCAAATGTGAGGAAGACGAGGGCCGAAGTCCCGAAGTGACTCTAAGTGGAAGGATGAGTCCAAATGGAGGGAACACGAGGGCCGAAGGCCTGAAGTGACTCTAAGTTGAAATATGAGTCCCAACGGGGGAAAGAAGGTTCTAAGTGGAAGGATGAGTCCGAAGTGACTCTAAGTGAAAGGATGAGTCCGAAGTGACTCTAAATGAAAGGACGAATAAAGGAAAGACAAGGGTCTAAGTGTAAGGATGAGTCCGAATAAAGGAAAGCCAATGGTCTAAATGGAAGGATGAGTCCAAATGTGTGAAAGACGAGGGCCGAAGGCCCAAAGTGACTCTATTTCTGCTTCATGTTTTTGCTTCAGGTTTCGAATTCTGATTGGAAGGATGAGTCCCATCCTAATCGTTATAGGAATAGGAACATGTTACGAGCCCAGAACCAAGCGACCTTTGACGCCCCGCGAGGCGCGTGCCGCAAAACCCCGCGCGAAGCGCGGGGTTTTGCGGCACGTGAAGCAGAAGCATGCTGACACCCATCTAAAAGAGAGGGCGAGGGGCCCAAAGTGACTCTATCTCACTTTTGGCGAGGGGCCCAAAGTGACTCTATCTCACTTTTGGCGAGCTGACACCCATCTAAAGCTGACACCCATCTAAAAGAGAGGGCGAGGGCCAAAGGCCCGAGCTGACACACATATAAAAGGTAGGGCGAGGGTGGAAGAACGAGTCTAAGTGTAAGGATGAGTCCAAATGTGAGGAAGACGAGGGCCGAAGTCCCGAAGTGACTCTAAGTGGAAGGATGAGTCCAAATGGAGGGAAAACGAGGGCCGAAGGCCCGAAGTGACTCTAAATGGATGGATGAGTCCCAACTGAAGGCTAATCTTTTCTTCCAGGCATAAAAAATCGCTAGCGGCGCGCGAAGCGCGCCCCCAAAGCCGTTAGGCTTTCCAACGGGCAGAGCAAAATTTAAAACTAAAGTGTCGTAACCAAATGCTCCCAGCTATCCGCCGCCATCAGTGGCCAAACCCATCGCTTTCGTGTTAAGGGTTGTAACTCCTCCCCTCCCTTTCGTGTTAAGGGTTGTAATCCCCCTCCCTTTCGTGTTAAGGGTTGTAATCCCCCTCCCTTTCGTGTTAAGGGTTGTAATTCCCCTCCCTTTTGTGTTAAGGGTTGTAAATTAATTTTAAATATAAATATAAGCCGCTGTCCCCCCTTGCCACTGCTCCCCGCTTCTCCGTCCCCCCTCCCCAGGAGTACAGGGTTTGCCCGTTTACCACCGTGCACCTCCACGTGGTGTACTCTGGGCATTGTTTTACTTTTGTGAAACAATGGCTAAGCACGGTACAAACGGGAGTCAAAATTTTTATTAAAAAATTTTTTTAGATAAATAGTTTAATTATTATTTTTCGAAAATAAAAAAAATATAATTTAAAAAATAAATAATAAACTTAAAGATATAAAAATATTAAGTAAATTGAACCAGCCATAAAAAATCGCTAGCGGCGCGCGAAGCGCGCCCCCAAAGCCGTCAGGCTTTCCAACGGGCAGAAGTATTGTAACCTAAAGAACCCCCCAATGTATTTTACCGCCACAGTGTCCTGATATCCACCCCAGTGGCCAAACCCATCGCTAGTTACCAAAAAATAATTAAAAATGTATTTTTATTTAATTAATTTATTTATTTTAATTAAATTAATTAATTCCCAAGATTTATTTACATCTTCTGCAGAATTACAACAATTAGTACATGTAGAAAAAGAAATTCCAAAAATTATAGAAAATTACATTTTATTAGAAAATAAACGTTTAGAAAGTTTAAAAAGGTTTTCTTAAACTAAATTTTAATTTTGTAGAGTTGTGATACATTTAATTAATATTTTTAAAAAAATAATAAATTAAATAGGGGTAGTTAAAATTTAAATTTTATATATCCTTAATGGGAATATTAATTTTAATTAAAGACAGTAATTGTTGTAGGGAATAGTCTGAATCCCTTAATATCTCCTACACACATAAAATTAATTTATGGAAAAAGTCGGGTTGGATTTCGGTTCGAAAAAGCTCATGTTCCGAGTGGGCTAACTAACCCAAATCCCGATACGGTTTTGGCCAATACCGATCCCGATTTTAGGTCGGAATCCCGATACCGGCCAACTCTAGTTAGGGTAACCCTGATTTCTGGTAGGGAAACTATGCGGATATTCTACAATATTATTTTATAAGGATTTTTCATAGAGAATTAACTTGTAAATAATTTTCTAGTATAGCAAATAAATATTTAAAAGAAGAAAGTGAATTATTTGAATTGGAACCAAAAAGTGTTTTAAATCCTTTAATTGCTCTTAGAGTAATCAAAAAATTAACAAAAACTTGGAAGGAAATTAAAAAAGAAATTCAATCAGATTTGGCTGAAAATTATTTAAAAAATATTTCAAATCAAAGAGAAACTCGATTTCCTAATGAGGTGGACATTTTTTTATTTTTTTAATTAAAAGAGGTGACTGAGGGGAGAGTTTTAAGAAGTGCTTTGGGGATTACTAAACTGCTACAGTGCTGGAAAAAACTATAGCCGCACTTTTGAAAACTTTATAACTTATGAAGGAGTTACCCAAACAACATCAAATTTTGTTGAAAAATGTAAAAAATAGATAGAAAAATAATGGTATTTAAATATTTTCAAAATTTTAAAAACAAACCACAAAAATTTTAAAAATTCAAAAATACGCGTAATTCTTATTGGAAAAAACTATAGCCGCACTTGCATTTTCGACCTTAGGAGTGGTCCGAAAAATCTACAAAAATTCCTGTAAACATATCTATTGATATCTATAAAAAATACAAAAGGAATGAAGTTCCTATATATTTCCTTCATTGAGATCTGAAAACCCGAAAATCAACGGAAAACAGGGGGTAGACGTCTTTAAAAAATATTTTCGACCCCTTACAGGTAAGATAAAAATTTTATTTTGGGCTTATTTGAAAGCCCTTAAAATTTGCTATAAGATAGCATCAATTTTATTTTCTGAAAAAAATTCAACTTTAAGACAAAATGTGATAAACTTTCAGGACATAAAAATCACTCAAAAGCCCCCCAAAAAGTGATGAAAATGTAACTTACAAACTAAACTCATTATTTCTCAAAGGATAATTTTTTCTGGATAATGAGATGAAAACTATCTTATAGCAAATTTTAAGGGCTTTCAAATAAGCCCAAAATAAAATTTTTATCTTACCTGTAAGGGGTCGAAAATATTTTTTAAAGACATCTACCCCCTGTTTTCCGTTGATTTTCGGGTTTTCAGATCTCAATGAAGGAAATATATAGGAACTTCATTCCTTTTGTATTTTTTATAGATATCAATAGATATGTTTACAGGAATTTTTGTAGATTTTTCGGACCACTCCTAAGGTCGAAAATGCAAGTGCGGCTATAGTTTTTTCCAGCACTGTATAAGAAGAGGTAAAAAAGGAGTACCCTAACTTGGTATGTAGAAAGCAGGGCTGGGCGATTTCGCATTCTCGCGTTTCGCATCTTTCGCATTTTTCACATTTTTTGGCGCGAAAAGTTTCGCAATCCGCATTTCGCTTTTTATTTTTTGATTTCGCCCAGCCCTGGTAGAAAGTAAATCTGTGGTAGGAAAATGTATTTTTGTGGTCGCGTGCCAGTAGTAATGTTAATTAATTACCAGTCCGGTATTAGAGATAGGACCGCAAAAGTACCAAATCGTGCCTAAAACTAATTTTGAGCAGGTTCTTAAAATAGAGGCAAACCAAAAATCGGGAAAAGTGAAAAAAATGAGAGCTGTATGGGAGCTGTAAAACTAGTTTTCCTATCGTAACAATATTTTATTTTTTTTTAAAAAGGATGATTTAAATGGAGCAATACAAGGATTATTACGTTTGCAAGATACTTACAAATTAAAAACTAAAGATTTAGCTAATGGAATTGTTGAGGATATTAATATAAACAAACAAATGGATGGTAAATATTTTGTTTGATAATTAAATTATATAAATTATTTTAATTTAATTTAGCAAAAGATTGTTATGAAATAGGTTTGGCTGCATATAATGAAGAGGTTATAATTTTTAGTTATGAAAATCCTAAAAATTTTCGCATGCGACGTTAAAATGAAGAATTTCTGCTTGCGGGAATCTCTTGAGTACTAGATGAAAAAAATTACAAAAACTTGGAAATTATAAAATAAGAGGATTTGTTGAGAGAAAAGCCACATAATGCCCAATACCCAGCACTGCTTATTGGTCTTCTAAAAATGCAAAAAATTTCGCCTACGGCGCAAAGATGAGAATCGTGGAAAGCTCTCTCCTAATGATACGACGCAGGGGTGGCATTGCGTTTTTTGAGATCGTCTCTTGTGCCTCCATGATACCAAGCATATGTAATTATTAAATTTAGTTTGTGGATTATTTCAACTTGCAGATTTTGGATGATAAAATCCATTTATATCCACACCTGAGAGGGCCACATCACTAAACCCCGACAAGAACCCCGAAGGTCAATCAGATAAAATCCAAAGAAATACGCGGTTAATTTAATTAAAATAAAAGGATTATTATCACTCAATATTGTGGATGGAAGAAGCAAATGAACGTTATTATTTACTCGAAAAAGAATTTAGAGAAATTAACAAATCAGATATTTTAAATATTTTGTCAATTTCTTTATATAAACAAGGAAATTTAAAGAGAGCTTTAATTATTAATGATAAATTAATTGAATTAGGTAATTGAGAATTAAATTAAAAATAAATATTTTCCCTTAAAAGATCCTTTATATCCAAATGCAACAAATAATTCAAAATTATATGAACAAGAATTATTAGCTAATGGAGTTGTTGAAGAAGATTTTCGTTTAAATATACCTCCATTAAATAATTATAGATCATTAAACGATTCATACCATGATTTTGTTGATCGTTTGGCTTATGAAGAGCTCTGTCGTGGTGAAAATGAAATTGTTTGTTAATTGGAATTAATTAAAACAAATCTTCCTTTAATTTTTAGAATATAACAGAAATATCCCAACTTTATTGTTATTACAAAATGGATCGCCCATTCCTTCGTTTAGCCCCAATTAAAGTTGAAATTATTCGATTCGAACCCTTAGCTGTTATATTTCGTAATGTTGTATTTGATGAAGAAATTGAAATAATGCAAAATATATCATTACCAAAATTATTTATATCTCCGTTTGGAAGAAACAATAGTTCCAAATTTAGAATTAGCAAAAGGTGTTACATATTTGAAATAATCTACTTTATATTTCTAATTTTAAGTACTACGATTAATGCAAGAAACCATTCAATTGTGTTACAAATAGCTAAACGTTTGAAATTAATGACTAATTTAAATATGATGTCAGCTGAAGGTTTACAAGTAAAATAATAATTTTTAAAGGTTTAAAAAAAAGTTTCATTTTAAAGGTGGCAAATTATGGAATTGGTGGATATGTTGAACCCCATTTTGATTTTCCTACTAAGGTTGGCGGTTCCTGGGTCTGGAACCGATAACCGAACCGAAAATTTTCGGTTATCCGGTCTTTTTTCGGTTCCGGATAACCGGAACCGCCAACCTTATTTCCTACGGTTTACTTCTAATATAAATTATGTAGATTAGGTTTTGAAAAAAGTAATTAAAATTATACTATTAGTAATGAACAGTGATGCGTAATTTCAGAATTGCTCATACTTGGTACCATCCCTAATTTTGCAAGGCTGTAAGCTAAAAATCACTTTTTAACAGTGCAAACGAAAGTTTTAAGAATTTTGGAGAAGGACCAAAAGCCTATAATTCATCTATTTAAAAAATAAATTTTTAAAAACAAAATTATTGGATGGCTGATGATTTGGAGTAATATCGGGGATACAAGGCGATTATGAATGATATAAGAGGATTTAGAGGGTGGACTTAGAGGGATAAATTTTTCCCTATTTTAGTCTTTGGAAAGGGTCACCCCGGATCAAGGGGGTTTAACGAGATAGTGGGGGATTAAGGAGTTTATCGTGGAATTTGAAGGGATCAAGTAGAGTCTAAGAATTCCATGGGAATTCTTAGACTGCCAGAATGCCGCCCAATCTACTAGAATGCCGCCCAATCTACCGCTGACAGTTTTTCCAACAACGGGAGAAAGTTTTTCCAACTATTAAGGATGTTGTTACAATTAGGAATAAATCGGAGAGGTTGTTCCAATGACAAGAAAAGTTGTTTTCGACCAACGGGGAAGTTGATCCGAGAACTGGGAAATTCTGTTCCAAAAACGTGAGAAGTTGTTCCAATCAAGGTTTTGACAGAAATGACGAAGTTGCAGGAAATCGAAACTGTCGGAACTTCGAAATTTTTGCAAAATTTAAGAGCTTGGAAATCGGAAGAAAAAACTTCGGAAATCGGAAGTTTCAACAAAGTAAAGGTGTTCCATAAACGGGGGAAGTTGCTTAGCATAGAGGAATGTCGACGGTAATCTGGGAGCGAGGTAGGTTGGGAGGCGGTAGGTTTGGGTGTACCCAAGTTTTTGTAAGTTCAGACGGTCAAGAAGGCAGAATTCCCCATTTTAATGAAAAAAAGATATAAGTAGAAATGTTAAAAAAATATCGAAGGTAATCGAAAATGAAAATTTTTAAAATCGAAATTCTGGTATAACATAAAAATACATATTAGAAATAATAAAAATATATATTTATTAGGATAAAGAAGGTTCAAATCCATCCATGGATATTGCATATAGAATTGTGACAGTCCTTTTTTATTTAAGTACACCAGAAAAGGGTGGATATACAGTTTTAAATAATGTAAAAACAACTGCTAAATCAACTAAGCATGATGCTCTTTTTTGGTATAATTTGTGGAGAAACGGAGATAGGGGAAAAGGTCGATTCAGAGTCGCCGATTCAGAGTCGCCAATTCAGAGTCGCCGATTCAGAGTAGCCGATTCAGAGTAGGGACTATTCAGAGTAGGGACAATTCAGAGTAGCCGATTCAGAGTACGGGGAAAAGGGGACGATTCAGAGTACATAAATTTTCGGATATAGAAAATCAGCTTTTCTGTCGATTTTTATGATTTTTTCTTACTTTCTACGATCTGAGGAACATTTTAAGAGCTAGCCGAGTCTCGACTCTAGGCTTTTCTTAGGCTTTTTCTGCCTTAGGGTAAAGATTTGGCCTCAACTTTTTTTCTTCAGGGAACAAAATTTTAATAAAAAAACGCGTCAAATAAGCAAAAATTTATCAAAAAAGAAACTAAAAAGTCAATGTCTCGTTTCACTCATTAGATTTGTGGCCCTAAAGAGGGCCGTTTGGGTTGTGGCTGTTGTTGACGAAATTGCAACATCACTTCTATTCCATCCAGGAATGCAATTCAAAGGTTGCCAGGCAGAATCACCTCAGCAGCAAATCGCTCAACAGCAAACCGCCCGAGCACGTCGTTGTTACCCCTAAAGAAATGAATTTAAAAAATTGAAAAAATTCTGGCTGTACTTTAGCCGGTGGCCGGTTCGAAACCGATTCGAAATATACACCATTCGATTCGTCTCGGCGAGCTGAGTCGAATGGTACCACTCCCAGGGTGCGGAAACGCCTGTGGACCGAGATATAGGTCCCCGAAAATCGAAAAACCAAAGGGGGGAGTAAGCACATTTTTGGGGTGAAAAATTCGAATATGCAAATAATAGCTCATTCGAAAGAGCTCCTCGAGCTGAGTCAAATGACACCAAAATCAATGAAATCCGACCTGATTGGACAAAGTTATGATCTTTTATTTTAGCTCCTTACCTATGGCATCTGTGGAAATTTTTGCTGCTACGGAGGCCCCAAATATGCCCAGAGCAAGGGAGATAGGAATAGGTTTATGTTACGAGCCCAGACCCAGCGCCCGTAGACTCCCCGCGAGGCGCGTGCCGCAAAACCCCGCGCGAAGCGCGGGGTTTTGCACAAGCGCCTCGCCGACGCTCCATAGGTTTAGGTATTTTGTTTTTTGTGCCATAACTTTGTCTAATCTTGTCCAATCACGGTGATTTTGGTGTCATTCAACTCAGCTCGTTGAGCTCTTTCGAATGAAGTATTATTTGTATAATAAAATTTTTATTCCAAAAATCGCCCCTTTTGATCTTCGATTTTTAGGGGTCTATATCTCGGTCCAATCAATTCGGATTTTGTTGATTTTGGTGTCATTCGACTCAGCTCGAGGAGCTCTTTCGAATGAGCTATTATTTGCATATTCGAATTTTTTACCCCTAAAATGTGCTTACTCCCCCCTATGGTTTTTCGATTTTCGGGGACCTATATCTCGGTCCACAGGCGTTTCCGCACCCTGGGAGTGGTACCATTCGACTCAGCTCGCCGAGACGAATCGAATGGTATATATTTCGAATCGGTTTCGAACCGGCCACCGGCTAAAGTATATCCAAAATTCTTTAAGAAATTCCAAAAAAATTAAAGAAATTTCAAAAAAATTAAAAAAAAATTCTTTTAAAAAACCCCGCAATGTAGAGAAGAAACCTCGTCGTTTAGGTTTCTGTGGAAAATTGAAGAAATTTAAAAAGTTTAAGAAAAATTTAAAAAATTTTTAATTTTGTTTTTTTAAAAATTTTTAATCTGTTTTTCTCTCTAAAACAATAAAAAGAAACAAGAAAGAATAAAAAACAAAAAAATAAAGCAATTGCTTTCCGAAAATCTCAAATTTTAGGGTAATCTAATCTACGTACTCTGAATCGTCCCCTTTTCCACGTACTCTGAATCGGCTACTCTGAATAGTCCCTACTCTGAATCGGCGGACTCTGAATTGTCCCTACTCTGAATCGGCTACTCTGAATCGGCGACTCTGAATCGGCGACTCTGAGTCGTCCCCTACCCCGGAGATAGAGATTTAAGAACTATGTTTGGTTTTCTTTAAATATTTATTTATTACTTATTTAGGCATGCATCTTGCCCTGTTTTGCTTGGCGAAAAATGGTTCATGATTTCTTGGATAGGCGAAAGAGGGCAAGAATTTTTCCGTCCTTGTGGTTTAGATCCATCAATACAAGAACGTTATGTTGGTGATTTGGGAGGCCCAGAACCTAAAAAATATCCAAATATATTTCCATATTGTAAAAAAGGATTGTATTGTGAATGAAAATAATTGTAATATTTATTTATTGTGATATTTTAAAATATTTTAGTTATGAATTTTTATTTATTTATTTACCGTGTTTTCTCTATAATAACCCCCGGAGTTTATTTTTTCGATCTACATCTATAGGGGGTTTACTTTAGAGGGGTGGGGCTTATTTGGAAAAGGGGGGCTTATTGTAGACTTATCTTCTAATCACTCTTAATCGCCAAATTAAGAGATTAGCAGGGATAACGGGGGAAGTGTGGGGCCCAGAACGGATCCAAATTCGGATCCAAGATTTGCAGTTAAACTGGACTAGATCTTCTAAAATTTTTCATCTTCTTTTAAATTTTTAAAATTGGGAATTACCTAATATTGCGGCCAATTTCTATTTTGTATTCGGTATTGTGATTAAGTAGGTTTAAAAATATAAGCTTACAATTAGTCTCTTAATATAAGCCAACTCAACGTGAACGATTGAAAAAGCTAAGCCCAGTGCTTTATTAGAGGATTTACGGTATTTTAAAATATTATTCAAATCAATTGTAATTAAATAACAAACCATTTTTATCAAATATTAATTTTTAAAAAATTTATAAGGAAAAACAAACATTATATAAAAAATATTTTATATTTTGAGGTGTTAAAATTAAAAATTTTGAAGGTAATAACAAAAAACTTACTTATATTTTTCGTTTAAAAAAAACAAACACTACGTGAGGTTATTTTTAAAAATAATTACAGTCAACTCTCTCAACCCTCCTACTCCAAAAAATTATAAGTCCACCAATATTTTGTGGAATTTTTAAAATACTAACTGTCTGTTAACTTCTATCTTACGTTGATTTTCAAGGTATCGAGATCTTGTCACTAAATGAGACATGGACCTATTTCTTTTTATTTTTTATAATATCATTTTTAAAATTAAAAAAATTTTTTTAATCCGCAATTGTCGCATCCGCAATTGTCGCATATAGGTATTTTTGCCGGAATTTTTGTAAAATTTTCCTGATATTGGAACTAACTATTTATTACAATGGACGTATCTTTTGTGGAGGGTGTTACGACAATTGCGGATACGCACGTGCGGATGCGACAATTGCGGATTAAAAAAATTTTTTTAATTTTAAAAATGATTGAAATGATGTTCCGTTTTTTAGTCCCGGCTGTCAGTTTCCGACTTGTGACGGTTTCCGAATCATTTTTAGACTGATATGGCACCTAAAACTTTAAAAAATCTTAAACTTTTTAAAAATTTTATATCCGCAATCGTCGCATCCGCACGTGCGTATCCGCAATTGTCGTACCGCCTTGTGGAGGACATAAAAAAATGGAATTTTTCCTTTATAAAATTTAATCCAGAAAAATCCAGTAAATTTTATATGTATTATGATAATTATCTATTGGTTGGTCTATAAACAACTTTCAAGTTTATCAGACCAAAGGTATTTTAAAAATTCCAAAAAATATGGGTTGGCGTTAATTTTGTAGAGCAATAACTAAAAGCTTCATTATAAAAAATCTTTTTTTCATTTACATATTTTCACTGAATAAAAATTATTAAATTAATTTAGGTAGATAAAGTTGACTGTTTTTAGGTAATAAAAAATATAAAAATAATATTTAGATATTAATATACCCCTAAAGATAATTTAAAATATTCCCTCTTATCAATCTTCATTTAAAGCATTATCAATCGCATTAAAAAATTTATTTAAAATTCCCTCTCCAAAAATATTTTTTGATTTAATTTCTTTTGAAATTTCTTCCGAGCGTTTTAATAAACTTTTTTCTCTAAAAAAATTTTTTTGATTATTTTTTTAATGTAATTTCTGTAAAAGCACAAATTGTATTTTTCGGGTGCTCCTAGATTCCTATGTAGCTGGATTTTCCAAGACTCAAGACCAAGATTAGGCCCCAAGATCGAAAAAAATCCAAGAAAGTCTTGGAATCAAGATTCAAGAGCAAAAGTGTCGGGCGTCTCTGGTAGGTGTTTCGATGCCTAGATTTAGGTTTCATTAAATATCTAGCCTTTTGTAAATTCTAATCTGTTGATTTATTTATGACGTATACCAAAAATATTCATTCAAATTCTGCCCGAATTCCTAAAAACTTACACAACCGCACAATAATTTTGAAAATTTTGTAGCTGCGGACAGCCTTGACCCCTACGGCTATCAATCTTATTTTTTTCCAAATTTTTTTGGTTTAATTAAAAAATAAATTTACTTAAATATAATATTCAATATATTTCCAAATTCCTTAATTATTTTATTCATTTCAATCCATTTAGCAATACCCAAATATTCCCCAATAAAAGCATTATATTTTTCTTCGGGCATTTTAGGAATACAAATTAAAGGAATACCAACAAACATGGCCTTTAATTTAAAATTATTTTTGTTAATTTATAAAATTATTTTTAACCTCGTTAAAATTTTTAAATTCACAGTCACAAATAAATGCACGCATTCCTGGTTTTCCTTTAAAGAAATTTTTTAATATTTTTTTTGGCCAAAGGATACTAAGGACCAGGGTTGCCGTTTTCGAGTTGGTCCCACGTTCGAGTCATCTTTTTGGGCCTCATTTTTATCGGGCCGGCCCAACCGAGTCTTTTTGCGGGCCAAAATTCGATGCCCGACTCGATCTTTCGGACCGGACCGGGAATCGGCAACACTACTAAAGTCTGACACTTTATTTAGGCTCTTTTCCGAAACTAACAAAAAAATTTTTAACAGAAAATACAGTCGTGGAAAAAAGTATGGAAGCGCTAGAAAATTTTCTCTTAATTTTTAATTTTTCATTCAAAAAATACGTTCTATATACCAATCGAAAGCTCTATTCGTATCTCAGTTGACATGTTTCTGCATTTTTCATGAAAATGAAAATTGGCCGAGATAATCCGGATCTGCCGGATATACCAAATCCCATTTTTTCGGAAAAATTTTTCGGAAGAAATTTAACAAACCCATTTGATAAAGCATATTTTTCTGAGTATTTTCCACAAAACCGCTTAGAAATATCTTTTTCCGGAACAGAGATATGATTTTTTGAAAATCGCATTTTTCCCTTAAAAATTGAAATTTTTGCAAAAATTGACGAAAAATGCGATTTTGAATGAAAAATTAAAAATTAAGAGAAAATTTTCTAGCGCTTCCATACTTTTTTCCACGACTGTATGATTTTTATTTTGTTTATTGCAAAATATTATAGGGTTCTTGGTGACTAGTTTGCTATATTTAAATCCATTTGGTTTAAAATTAGTTTGCTAAGGACTAGTCTACGCTAATGGACAGGCACTTTATTTTGACTCTTTTCCTTGTCGCTGTATCCCTTTATGTCCATCCTATCCCCAATTCGCGAGTCTTCGCTATTATTTTTATTGGTAAAGCTGTTGCTTAAATATTATTTGTTTAATATTAGGAAATCAACAAATATATTGCTATAAAAATTGCTAAAATTTGCTCTATTTAGCTTGATTATGTATGTATTAGGAAATGAATTAGGAATAGGTAGTAAATAAAATCCTCCTTTCCCTAATTTTTTATTTAAAAATTATTTTAAATACCAAAATATTCTTTTTGTAACTTATCAATTTCGTCTTTATCAACTTGATGTAATTTAATATTTTTTAATTTATTTTTTGGAATTAATATTTGATTTTTATCAATTAAAACAATTAATTTACAAAATTTTGGTTTTTTATTGTATTTCAAAAATAAATTAAAAATTTTGTTAATTATTTTTTTATTTATATAAGAATTGTCGAAATAATTTATTTTCCATAATATAAAACATTCCTTAAAAATATAATTTTTAATTGCGTATTTACTCGATTAATTCCTCTGGGCCCGTAGAATAAATTCAGGGTAACATAACCGGTTGAATAACCGGGTAAAATAACCCTGGGTTAAATAACCCTGAGTTCCGAGTAAAATTGGTAGAATAAATTCCGTAGAATAAATTCGCATTTTTACTCCAAACTAGAGGTTACTGTAACTCGCGAGTAACTCTTTAATTTTATTTCTATATTGAACTTCCATTAAACAGCTTTAACTTTAAGTAAAATCATTAGAGTTTGAAAATGTCGGATCCGGTTTCAGGATTTTAATTTCTTTTCATCCGGACTAAAATCCGAATTTTTAGACCCGGATCCAAACCTGGATTTTCAAAAAAAAATTTTTCATAAATATTTTTTCATTTTTTGAATATAAAATTTTTTTCAAAATTTTGAAAACTTAATATATTTTGGAAAAGAGCAATCGAGACGCTTTTACCCCCTGTTACACTGCCCCCGACCAGTGTAGCAATTTTACCCTTAGCTGAGGGTTATTTGACCCGAGTAAATAATTTATTCTACCAATGTGAAAAGCTACTCGGGGTTTTGGGTTAAACTACCGGGTTGTTTAACCCTGAACTCAGAGTAGGAATTTATGCTGCGGGTTGCGAGTTATTTGACCCTCGGGTAGGGGTTAAATAACCCTTATCCCGAATTTATTCTACGGGCCCTGGGGAATTAATATTTCAACATTTGTGGCATAGGGAATTATTTGAGGGAGGGGAATTATTCGAGTAAATACGCTAGATTATTTACCTATTTATATTTATAAAAGTTTATTGGTATTTTTGAGGAATTTTTTTTAATTATTGTAGTCTAACAAAAAAATTTTTGAGGAATTTTCTGAATTTTATGTCATTTTTACTACTTGTTTTCTCTTTTAAAAATAGTCAGGGATAGCCAAAAATTAAAAAATAATAAAAGGCAGCAGCGGCCTTTTATTTATCGAGTTCTGAGTTGATTTTCTTTGAATAAGGGTTAACCCTCGGCTCGGTGTTCTATTATGCGGGTAAGAGAACCTGGAAAATTTACCAGGACCCACCCTTACCTCGTTCTCTGAATACTGCCCCTGATTTGCAAGTTTTATTTGAACTTGGCTATATATCTTAATGTTAGAACATATAGTCACCAAGAAATCCCCTATCATTTTTCCAAAATATATTCTTTAATTATTGAGAAAACTTTTAAAATTATTTAAATATTTACAATAAAAATATACTTACCTTTTCAAATAAATTAAACATTTTATTCTTTTTCTTCTCTTTATTTATCCCCGTTAATTCCAACCCTCCAATATACAGAAATTTTTGTTTATTTTCATTTTCAGGTAATTCCGAATAAATAGCTAGTGGATGTTGATTAATTAAAAAATAATTAAAATTTTCCAATAATAAACTTAATTTTGGGATATTTTTTAATCCAAATATCTGATAACCTTTCTTTTTTAAATTAAACATTACTGCATCATAATAATATTTAAATAACAGATTATACTCGCAATTAACTATTCGATTATTTAATTGGTTATATTCTTTATTTTTTAAATAATAATTTTGTAATGAATTATTTGAAGGATTTTGTTTAATTAAATAACCATCGCCGGGCATTACATTATTATAAGCTTAAAAAATATTTTTTATGCGAATGGAAAAAATAAATATTTTTGGTGATTTTTAAGTGTTTTATATGGCCTTATGTAATAGAAAGTTTTTTAGATGGGTGATAAACAAATTTAATACAGATACCCAAGTACCGTATTTACTAAAATAATTAACTAGGGTAATTATTGTTTCAACCTCTCGCTGGAGAGGGTAATTAAAAGGGAGGGGAATTATTTGAGAGAGGGGCATTATTTCAGCATCTACGGTTTATGTAAATAGTGTTGTCGGTTCCTGGAAATTCTTCGAATATCCTGAACTAATCGAGAACCGAACAGAAAAATTCTCATACTATAGCAGGGATAGGGTTGGGGTTTTCGAGCCGAGCGAGTCATTTTTTCGGACTTCGTTTTCATCGGGCGGGCCCGACCGAGTCTTTTTCGGGCCAAAATTCAATGCCTGACTCGATCTTCCGGACTTGGCCCCCAACCCTACTATCGATCTAACAGATTTTTTTAATTCCCCAAAATTGAAAATTTGCTTTTATTTTTTAAAATTTATTTTAGATCCCTTATATTTTTAAAAAATTTTAAGTAAATAAATATACAAATTAATTAATTAAATAACAATTAATTATTTCTTCCTCAATAAATAAAATAAATATTTTACCAGGCATTTCTTCATCCAAATTAAATCCAAAAAATTGTAAAAAAGAAATATTAAGAGGAGTTGATGATATATTTATTATTTTATTAATATTTAATTGATAAAATAAAGCAAAAGCTCCACCCATTTCACTAAATTCAGAAATTCCCAAATCAAATTTAGTATCTTGTAGCCACTCTATAATATCCAAAGGTGTAGAATCTGGATTAATACAAACAGGGACATCTTCAATTGCAGCTAAAATTAAAATTAAAGGGATTTTTAAATATTATTTTTAAATTAAAAATCTTTATCCAAACTTGAACGAAACAATTTTATTTTTTATTTCAAAAATTTAAAAATTATTTGGCCTATTTTTTAGTTTAAATATTATTTCCCTACAGTGATGCGGAAATTCCAAAATTTCCGGGTCCAAACCGTTCCAGACCTTTGCCAGTTCGATGGTTCAAGTTCCGGAACACAAACCCCCGCATACTGGTTCCCTAATAAAGTTACTCTTTAATAAATGGCTGTTACTTTAGTTTTCAAGACCTTAAAAAATTTGTTGTTCAAATAAAAGGGACAATCATTTAAGAGAATTCAGACTTTAATTATTTAAGTCTCTGGGTGTTTAAGTAAGGTCTCTGGGTGTATTTATGTAAATAACCTTTATATATTCCAACAAATTTATTAAAATCATTCTCGCAAAATTTCAAATTTCTTTTTTCATTTTCAGATAAAGTATTTTTATATTCATTAAACTCATTTTCTTCCAAAGTTTGTTTAGGTACATTAATAACAATAAAATCTTCATTAACAACTTTGTTTCCCCAAATTAAAAAATACTTAAAAATAAAAATAATTTTAAATTAATATTTCTATTTGAATTTACCATCTTGTATTTTGTCGCTAACAATCTTGCCAACATTAACTAAATATTTAAATAAAAATTTTATTCTTTTTAATTAAAAAATCAGAATTAAAATATTTTTTAAAATCTACTCGTTAGGCAGAATAATTTTAGAAGAGGGGAGATTAATTTAACAATAAGCAGTTTACATTAGAAAGAGTTAAAATATTTAGTTAAACGAGTCCACTTAAAAGACCTATTGACCCAGAAGACCTACAAATTTTTAAAGGGGATATCGAGGGATTTATAGGGATTAAGGAGGATAAATAACACATACCTAGCTCTATTATGATAAATACCCGGTGTGTATTTTAAAACCAATGGTGCCGTATTTTGTGTATGTATCTGGGTGTAGGTCTTTTGGTTTGACCCCAGCTAAATATATTCCCAACTTTTTTTAAATCTTTTTAATTTTAGATTAAATAATTTTCTTCAAAAAATATTTTTTAATAAACCTACTTACATGATATTCTAAACGATTTAAATTATTATCATCAGATATAAAAATAATCTTTTTACGTTCATCACTCTCATTTATTTCTTCCTCTTCTTCTACAATTTCCTCTTCAACTTCCGTTTCATCCTCTTCTATTATTTCTCGCTCTTCAGTTTCTTCCCCATTTAATTCTTCCTCTTCTAAAATTTCTTCCTCTATTATTTCTTCACGTTCGGGTTCGCTAAGAAATTCCCTCAAAGTTTTCCTTTTTGCGATTTGTAAATTTTTTGTTTCTTTTATTTTTAATTGTTTAAAACATTCCTTAAATTTCAAAAATATGTTTGTTCCAAAGTCATCACTCTGTTCCAAAAAGTCATTATTTTCACTTTTTGGGATTTTTATGGATCTTTCGAAGCACACTTACTAATTGGAATCTAGAAGTAACCTTATACGTTATGAAAAGCTAGTATTTATTTTAGCTCTAAAATTTTTTGTTAAGGAAATAATTTTTAAGATATATTTTGAATAGACATAAGATTGGATGGATATAATTATGAGAGCTCTTCGATTCATGACCGCTCAAGCATCCCAACACCGACTGTTATTCATCTTTGGTTTTTTGTCAGGCATTCGAAGCATTTTGTAAAAAATTCTAAAAAGATTGGATTTATATAAATTAGTAATTTAATAATTTGGATATTAATATAGTAATTTAACAATAAAATAATAAAACAAATTTAATTTTAAAAATATATTAATTTTTTACCAAAAATCCCTCAACATTTTCGTTAATTAAAGACAGCAAAATAATTTTAATAAAAATTACAAGAATAGGAGACAGAAGAAAAATATTTTTAAAAATTAATTTCATTTCATTTTAATCTTCTAAAAATATTTTTTTAAATAAAAGAATGCCCAAAAACAAATTTTTAATAAATCAAAAGAATAATTTTTACTACATATTAAACAATAATAATTTAGTTTCTATGTAATTATAAAATTTATATTTTAATTTTTAATTTTAGTGTGTTTTGGCAAGCAAATTGCTTTAACAAAAATATATAAAAATGCCCTTTATAAAATTCTTTTTCAAAGTCTCTTTAAGTGCCGCAACCCTCCATCCCTAAAATCAATTTAAAAATAACTTCAAACACTGCCGAAATAACAGCGTGATTGCCAAAATAAATTCATATGATTTTTTGACAAGTCAGGGGAAGGAGTGCGCAAGAGACAACCGAGAAAACGCGATGCAAGGCCAAGTTTATTAACATGATTAGCCCTAACCGGGTCACTCCCTTTATTAAATTTTGCTGGATCTGATTCGGCTTAACCCAAATAAAATATACCCGAAAGAAATAACCCGAAGCATGAAAATTAAATTTGAATCACTAACTTTTACAAATAAAAGTTGCGTCTTGTTCACTCGCACCATATCGTCCATGTCCCGGAGAATCAAACTTTAAAACTAGTGCCCGGCAAAATCGATTTTTTCTGACCAGGATCTGGATTTGCAACTTGAGCCAGACCGGATCCGGGCTAATTTATATTTTTATTTTTTTATTTCCACTAAAAATGCATACATAAGGGAGAAAGTTTTATATTTTTTAATAAAAAAGACAATAAAAAAACTAATAAGTCAATAAACGAAAGTTGTAAAGTGGATTATTAACGAAAGGAAGAATAAATGTAACGGTAAGGAAGGGAGATAAGAGAATTAAAGAATTCGTCACGTAACAAACGACGGCCATTTAAGCGCTTCCTTGGATTAAAATGAAGTATTTTGACAAGTATTGATGCTGGATTTTTTTCTGGAGAATAAGAACATTTTTGTTAGAATAATTAACTGGAAATATATTGGGCAGGCGATTTCCCCAAAAAAACATTCCAGCAATATTTCCTTAAAAATGCGTCAAATGTGATTCACTAAAACAAAGTTTTTTTCCTTTTCAGCTAATTTTTCAATGAATTTTCCAATATATTTACATAACAAAAACAGCTCTTGAAACGGATAAACTGCTTGAAATATAATAAATGGTTTCAAACCCCTCTTGGGTTTGAAAAAATCATATAATCATAGGGGGTGGGGTTCATCATTCATCATCAAAATTAATAAATCTAATATATAAATGAGAGGAATACCCTAATAAGGATATAAGTGAAGAATAAGAGGGTTAAATAAAAATTGATTACATTGAATATACCGTAGGTACTAGTATCCTCAATGTCCTCCACAATTAGGTTATATACAAATTCATGATTTGTGCATGAATTTAAAGGACGTGGCATTGATGTCATATTAAAGTTGTATAATATATAGGAATATAATTGAAGGAGTTTATCTTGGTAGAATGATGGTAACATTTAATGACAACGTATTGTTTTATAGTAACATTCTCTAATAGTAACTCTACAAGTGATATTAACTCATCTCGAATTAAGAATTAAAAGAAAAATATGGCAGACTATCAATAATATTGTAGAACAGAAAAGTTTTTTTAAGTTGGATAAGTACGATAAACTCTTATGAGCAAAACTGCTAGGAAACATGCCACTATAAAAACAATACGTTGTCATTAAATGTTACCATCATTCTACCAAGATAAACTCCTTCAATTATATTCCTATATATTATACAACTTTAATATGACATCAATGCCACGTCCTTTAAATTCATGCACAAATCATGAATTTGTATATAACCTAATTGTGGAGGACATTGAGGATACTAGTACCTACGGTATATTCAATGTAATCAATTTTTATTTAACCCTCTTATTCTTCACTTATATCCTTATTAGGGTATTCCTCTCATTTATATATTAGATTTATTAATTTTGATGATGAATGATGAACCCCACCCCCTATGATTATATGATTTTTTCAAACCCAAGAGGGGTTTGAAACCATTTATTATATTTCAAGCAGTTTATCCGTTTCAAGAGCTGTTTTTGTTATGTAAATATATTGGAAAATTCATTGAAAAATTAGCTGAAAAGGAAAAAAACTTTGTTTTAGTGAATCACATTTGACGCATTTTTAAGGAAATATTGCTGGAATGTTTTTTTGGGGAAATCGCCTGCCCAATATATTTCCAGTTAATTATTCTAACAAAAATATTCTTATTCTCCAGAAAAAAATCCAGCATCAATACTTGTCAAAATACTTCATTTTAATCCAAGGAAGCGCTTAAATGGCCGTCGTTTGTTACGTGACGAATTCTTTAATTCTCTTATCTCCCTTCCTTACCGTTACATTTATTCTTCCTTTCGCTAAAATCCACTTTAGGTATTGATCATGTTCATATTAAAAATTAATTTTTTTTAATTAAAAAAATTTTTTATCGAAAATTTCAGAAATTGTTTTGTACTTCTTTCATCCCTCAAAAATAAAAAATTTTTCTACCAAATTATTTTCCCCAATTTCTTTAAGTCTTTGAGCATAATCTGGATCTGATTCACATATCCAAGATTTTTTGTCGTGTTGTTTAACAACATCATTTCTGAACTTTAAAAAGAAAAATTTAAAAAAAAATAATTTTTATATTTAGTACCTGTTCAATAGATTTCCCTCCATAATCACCTCCTTTACCCTTTAATGGACCCCAAACAAAATTATTGTAAATTGTGTCGTTGCAAATTGGAAATCCCAAATATTGGAGATGCTGAAAAAGAATTGTTTAAATAAAATATTTTTAACAGTGAGATTTGGATCTGAATATACTATATAATGAGAAAAATAACTTTTATTTTTGTTTCAAAAAATCAGAATTATTACATTTATTTCAAGTTCTTTGGCTAAAAATTTTGAAAATTTCTCAATACTAAAAATATAAACCTCACCACTCTTATTTGATGTGTTCTTCCCATCTCAATTTGGCAGCGAATAATTGAAGTTCACAATTCCCCAATTTACTTGTAGAGGCAATTTTGAATTTATATAAACCTTATTATTTTAAAAATAAAAATAATTATTAATATTTAAAGTTAAAAACTCAAATAATCATTAAAAAATAAATTTTCTTAAAATAAATTTATCAACAAAGATAGAATTTTGGGTATTTTTTTAAAATAAATTGAAGCAAATAAATTTTAGAATATAGCCCTAATATACAGAGAAAAGCCCACAAAAAATAAAATAGTAAATGGGGAAAAAAGACAAGTAAATCTAATTAAATTATCACTTTTTCTTGGATTTTTTCATTTCTGCTTTTTTATTTGTTCCACTATTTACTGGAGGATTAATAACACTTTTAATTATCGCATGCCCACTTTGTTTTAAATGAATGTGAAGTTTACTTTTAGAATCAAATTCTTCACCACAAGTGTGACATTCATAAGCAACAGGGCCTGATGGAAGTGTTTTCTTTTGCTAAAAAAATAATTAAAGAAAATTAAAGTGAAAAGAGAACATTTACAATCTTTATAATTAACAGATTAGAGTCCATCCTAAAGATCTATTGAATCTAAAGACGTACACCTTTTGAAAGGGAACATCAAGAATATTGAGGAATTTGGTGGGAATTAAGGGGTTATCGATGGATTTGGTGTGAATGAAAAGGATAGAGATTCACCCAGGGCCCGTAGAATAAATTCGGGGTAAAGGGCATTTAACCTCTACCTTGGGGTTAAATAACCCGTAACCCGCAGAATAAATTCAAACCCCTAGCTTCGGGTTAAATGACCGGGTCAGATAACCCGGTTATCTGACCCGCGTAACATTACCGGTAGAATAAATTAATTACCCGGGTTGAATAACCCGCAGGTAAGGGGCAAATTGCAACCCTACTAGGGGGCAGGGTAGCATGCGCATTATGCATAATTTCCAAAAAATTAAAACATTTATTAAATTGAAAAATTTTAAAAAAATTTTAAATTTCTATTCCAATTTTTTAATTTCTATTTTTTTAATTATCTGATTTTTTAATTTTCTTTTAAAATTTTAATTTCCTTTAAAATACTCCCAAAGAGGGGACTGTCTAAAATATTCTATAATACTAGGTTTAAAGATCCAATAGAATATTTACCTAAGCACGTGAGAATCCTGGCAGGAAGGGTCAATCTCTTTTTAAACAATTAATGCGAAATGGGTTTGGCAATAAAATATAAAGGGTTAAATAACCCAGTAACTCAACTAGTTAAATAACCCTTAGTTAGGTGTTAAATAACCCTTAACTCGGGGTTGAATTTATTCTACCGATTTTAACCCGTAGCTAAGGGTTATTTGCCCACGGGTTGTTTAACCGGGTTATTTAACTGGGTTATCCAACCCCGAATTTATTCTACGGGCCCAGGAGTTATTCACGATACCAGACCATCGGTTCTAGAATTCTAAAAAAAGTTACCCAGTTCTAAACTGGGTACTTATCTCCATATACCCTTAATACCTCTACATTCCTATCAAAAGTTGAAGGTCTTCAGGGTTGTCCCAAGGATTACCTCAGTTTTTAGTGCCTGTTTAGCAGCTTTCCTTTTTGCTGTTTTTGTCATCTTTTTAGGGATATTATTTTCCTGTTCAGTTAACTCGTCTTCTTTTTGACCTTCCTCCTCTTCATTATTACCAATTTCTTCAATATTTTTATTAGAATTTTCTTCTTCTTCTATATTTATTTTAGGCTCGTTCTTTTCCTTTTTCTTTTTCGTCTTTTTATTTTCTTTTGTCTTTTCTTCAACATTTTCATCATCAGAATGTTGATTTTGAGCACCATCAAAGAGCTTCTGATCTTCCTCACACATGTGAATTTTTAATAATTCGGCCATTTGGCGATGCTTTTTTGAGCGTTGATGGCTTTCCAGAACATTTCTTTAATTAGAAAAAATTAATTGAATAAAAAATTAAAAGATTGGTGGAAAGGTAGAACTTAAGAAACTCAGATCAAAATAAATCAGAAGACGAGGAGTTGTAAACTTTGTTTAAAATACAAGAGCAGAGGTTGCCAGATCGTCGAGTTAAGACACAGCAGTCGACATAGCGGCTTAACTCGAAAAAGATCGTAAAACTCGGCCCAGCTTGGAAAAAATGCATCGAACATTGCATTTTTACCAGAAAAAAAAGGCAAAAATTAACCTTGATTTGAAAGACTTTTCACAAACAATACAATAAAACTGCTCTTCGTCATCTTCATCAGAAAGGTTTTCCTCATCGCTTGCCCCGTCATTTTCATGTTTTTTATTCTCAACAATACCAAAAGCAGCATCCAATTCAGCCTCAATTTGTTCAAGATCCATTAAATGTTCTTTCTGAATTTCCGTGTCGATTTCAAAGTTCTTTAGGCCTCTAAAATAAAAAAGAGTGATCAAATAACTAAAAATATTTATTACTCCAAATTTTTTCTAATAGCTTGTCGTTGCTGTTCTTCAACTTTTTTCATGATAAAAGCATTTCGTTCAGCTTGACGTTGTCTAGCGACTTCGACGCGTTTGTCATGTTTACGAACAAATTCTACTAATCTCTAAAAATAAATTTCTCTTATTTTTACGCTAATATTTAACAAGGACGTATCAAAAAAATTTCAGGGTGGGAATTAAAAATAAATTTTTTGGCTGGATTTACTTTCTGTTATTGCATGGGAAGAGGTAGTAGTTCTCAAGCCCAACCACCCAGATACGTCCTCACTTCAAAGGAAAAAATTTTTTTTATTTTAAAATTAACCTGAACTTCTTCATTTCGTTTTTTCTTGCCTTGTGTCCTTTCCCTTCTATTTTCCCTTTCCATATAACGAGCAGTATGTCTATCATCAGCTTCCCTCAAATTATATTTATCTAGCCAAGCAAAGGAACGACGAGTTGAAAAATTTAACCAAAATGCGTAGAACGGGGCGACAACCTAAAAAAATGATAATTCCAAAAAATTCATGTTTGGGAAACAAACAGTTTCATAATCGCTATTTAGAGTGCCAAAAACAGGATAATTTCTATCTTCAGGGTCATCAATATAAGCATACTCTTCTGCAGCCAGTTGATGGAAAAGATCGCGATATACAGAATAAAATTTCTGTAAAAATTATAAAACATAATTTTAGTAAAAATAACGGGTGGGGGCTAACTCAAGGAACAGACAAGTCAAGGAAAAGACAGGTCAAGGAACGACCAAATCATGGAATATTTTAAAAATCAGCATTTTTGAAAAATATGAATATTTTTAAAAATTAAGAATTTAAAAACAAACTAGAATAATTAAAAAAAGAATTTTAAAAAAATCTGAAAAATCAGTTTTTTCAAAAAATTCTGATTTTTAAAATATTCCATGATTTGGTCGTTCCTTGATTTGTCTGTTCCTTGAGTTAGCCAGACACGGAAATAACTAGATTTAGTTATTCTAACCAAATAAACATTTTAATTAAAATCCACAAAAAAATAAAAACCTCAACACACTCCTCTTCACTTGTAAACATGTGTTGCCAACAAGAAGTGCTCCTGAATGGCTCGAGTTTAACACCTGTGTCAACTTTCTCCTGCTGAGAATCTAAAAATTAAAGATAAAATTACAAAACATTTCAAAACCCCCTACCAACACCAGCATAAATAATATTTTCGCGATGTCTATCATAAAATGCCCTTTCTTGGGGATCAACAAGTACTTCATAGGCTTGCTAAATTATTCTTAAAATTAAAAGAAATTATAGGAAAAACCTGAATTAAAATAAAATAAGCAGCGCATTCCTCCTCTCTTCCAGGATTTTTATCAGGATGCCAACGCAAAGCAAGTTTTTTAAATGATTTTTTAATTTCATCATCTGTGGCATTTCTTTCGACTTCCAATAATTCATAATAGCAACGAGGCTGTTAAATTTAAAAAATAAAAATAATAAATTGAGTAAATTAAAATACTTTTGGCGGCTCTGTACTAGCACTGGGTTCATCACTTGTAGTAAAAAAGGACTTGGCTTTCTCGTAGAATTGATCCCAGATACCCATTCTTCAAATTATCTTAGAAAATCTTTAATCGTTGTCCAACCTTTCTTCAATAAAGTTTGCGCGGCGGTTAAACGGGAGGGTACAGCCCAAAACAACGCGGGCCAAAACTACGCGACCGAAAAGGGGTACAGCCCAATTAGGCGCGCGGCCATAACGGCGCAAAGCCAAAACTTGCTTCAAGATTCCAGATTTTTACCAAATTTAGTATTAAACGATTCCTCTCATCGAGCTTAAAGGATTGGTTTTAAAATTGATAAGGGCCAGAAATTTTCCTGAAAATTATATGTAGCTTTGTGCCGTTATGGCCGCGCGCCTACTTGGACGTATCCCGACCGAAACAACGCAGGCCAAAACGACGCAAGGCCAAAACTACGCAAAAATATTTACGCAAAACGCAAGCGTTAAACGTTAAAATTTATCTGCAAAAAATACCCAAAATTCAATTTTGTTGATAAATTTATTTTGAATTTATTTTTTAATGATTTTTTATTTTTAGGATAATAAGGTCAAAAAAAATTTTCCGAATTTTCAAAATTGCCTCTACAAGTAAATTGGAGAATTGTGGAGAAACTGAAAGGTTTTTTTAATTTTTTTTAAACTTTAGAATAGTTGTTGTCCTGAGGTATTAGACGCTAAAAAGTGAAATGGGACGAGTATTTTACCTAAATTGGGGGTTTTAAGAGTGTCTGATTTTAAAAATCGGTACTACGTTATCCCCTACGTGTTTTGCGGACATCTTTTAATTTTCCAAATTGTTCGTAGTGGCCAGACTTTCTCCCTTCTTCAATTTGACTCTACCTATTCACCCAGACATAATGTTTTTATATTTAAAAAATTTAATTTTTAGTTTGGATGAACCAGTTAAGAAGAAAGCAAAAAAGACTGATATGAGAATTTTCCCTTATGACGAAATTAAAGTAACAATTAAAAATGGTTTGTCTTTACATTAAATTTATTTTTAAAAAATATTTTTTATGTGTTCGATATCTTCAACCTTATTGGGACTTATTTAACGGTTTTGCCAAACAACGGTGGATTGGTCGTGAAATTTGTGAAGTTTTCCAAAAAGAATTTATTGGTTATCATCCTCTATATGCTATAGCAGCGATTAGAAAAGGACGTTTATTTATTAATGGAATTCAAATGACTAATCCACAATATAGGATTAGAAATAATGACAAATTTAATCATCTAGTCCACCGGGTTAGTTTAGTTTTTTTTATTTTGAATTGAATGCCCAATTTAAAAATTGGAATTTGGTGAATTTGGCCATTTAAATTTTTTAAAAATTGGAAGCTTACCGCGAGTAAGCTTAAAAAACTTACCGCAGAGCTATAACTTTGTTAAGAATTGTCGAATCCGGGACGCTCTAGAATGGTTCGATTGCCTATACAAGCTGAATCGAACCATACCAGGGCGTCATGGATTCGACAATTTTGAACGAAGTTAAAGCTCTGCGGTACGTTGGGGTGTACCCAAAAAATTCTTTGTCCAAATTCTGCAAGTTTCATTCATAAATTTTTTTCATTAGAGAGTTCTAAATTTCTTTTTAAAAATTTTACTTCACAGGGTTTTTTAGGGATTTCAAAAAAGTTTTGTATAATTAAAATTTTTTTGTAAAATTTTAATTTTGTTTTTATAAAAAAACTTTTATAATCCTAGTGGGGAATATTCTCTTATTTTTTTCAAAAATAATCTTTTAGAAAATAAATATAGAGGATTTGACAAATTTCTCTCTCTTTCTAAAATTTTTAAAAATTATTTTCAGCATGAAAATGAAATTCCAGACCTTCCGATAAAAATTATTGGTAATTTAATCTTTTTAAACAATTTTTTTTAATTTTACTATATTAAGCTGAAACAGACGATTTTCTTGTTGTCAACAAACCTGCAGGATTGCCAGTCCATCCATGTTTGGATTTTTATTTATTCTTAATTCCCTTTTTTCCTAATTAGGTGGCAACTACCGATTTAATTCAGTGAAAGTTTTATTGGAAAATGAATATGGGAGAGCTGTGAATGAATTGAGAAGTTAATTTTTAATTTTATTTAGGCTTTATTATAAGATACTCCTTTGATTTAAGATTTGTTTCTTTTATTTTTGTTGACCGTTTGGTGGGAAGCTAGGATTATTTAAACGCTGTTTCTATGTAAACTATACCTCCGGCAATCTTGGAGAATTGGGGGCCCTGCGAAAAAAGTTTAAAAATAGGAGAAATTATGTTTCTAGAGTAAAGATTCGTAATCAGCATGTTTTTTAGCCTAGAAAAATTCTTTGTCTTATTTTTAAGATTTTTTCCGCAGGGACCCCAAATCTCCGGGATTGCCATACCTCCATTATGGTATACAAATTTTTTCATCTCAAGGAGTTTATCTTTTGGTGAGATTTAATTAGGATATAATTTAGGAGGTCTATTATTTCCTTTTTTCTTCTTTATATTTAATGGTTTATCCCCACGTTTTTACTTTTGCTTCAAAAAATATTTAAAATTATTTTTAGCATTATATAGACTTGACAGACAAACAACTGGAGTATTAATGTTTGCTAAAAATTATGAAACTGATTTTAAGGTTTTTAAAATAAACTTAATTCTTTTATGTATTAAAATATTTCAGTTTAAAAATGACGTCCTTAAAAGAGCAGTTTCAAAGATTTATTTAGCTAAAGTTGATGGAATCTTTCCAAAGTAATTCTATTTTTAAATAAAAAGAAAAAAAATTTGGTGAAGGGATTGGGCAAATGAAGGTGAATTTTTTGGCCTTCGAAATTATTTTTTAGTCTAAACAAATTTAACAAATAAATTTTAATTTAAACGTGGAAAGCACACCTTAATAAATTTAATAAAATTTACTGAAGAAAAAATTCTTGAGATTATTTTCTTTAAAAATTTAATTTTTTACTCTAAAATACCTATAATATTCTTTATTAGTGAAGAAGTTATTTGCGATCAACCAATTTCTATTTTATCAAAAGCAACTGGCATACGCCGTGTTGATTCTGATGGACAAGATTGTTTAAGTCGATTTAGGTATTTTTGTTTTTTTTTTATTTTTAACAAATTTAAATTTATTTAAGGTTGCTTTATGCAAATAAACAAGAAAATACTTCAATTATTCGATGCCAAATTGAGACGGGAAGAACACACCAAATAAGAGTGGTGAGTTTTTTATTTTTGTATCAAGTTATTTTTCAAGATTTTAAATTCTGAATTTTTAGTCTAAGAACTTAAGACATAAATAAATTTACGAAGGATATTCTGATTTTTTCGAAAAAGGATTGATATAGTAGAAAGAAGTAGGGGGTCGGACTTGTTGCAGTACTGGAATTGAGATCTCGAAATAATCTCGATTCTCGATAACCGAGATTTTTGATAGAGATCTCATCTTGGTCCGATCTCTAGAAAGAAGTATTAAGTAAATTCAGATCCAAATCTCTGTTAAAAATATTCCTCTTTTTTTTAAAGAATTCTTTTATTTTACAAATCTTTCAGCATCTCCAATATTTGGGATTTCCAATTTGCAACGACACGATTTACAATAATTTTGTTTGGGGTCCATTAAAGGGTAAAGGAGGTGATTATGGGGGAAAGTCTATTGAACAGGTACTTACTAAATATAAAAATTATTTTTTTTTATTTGCTCATTTAAGTTAAGGAATGATGTTATTAAACAACACGATAAAAAATCTTGGATATCTGAATTAGATCCAGATTATGCTCAAAGACTTAAACAAATTGGGGAAAATGATTTGGTAAAAAATAAATTTGTTAAAAAAAGAGTTTTTTGGAAGTCTAAATTTTCTCTAGAAAATTTTTCGAGGGGAGGGGAACAAAAAAACTTGTCCTTTCCCGAAATTTTTGAAAAAAAAAAAATATTTTTTAATGAAAAAAATAATTTTTAGTATGAACATGACCAATTAGATTTGTTAAATCTTAAATTTGACGAGTTGCCCAGTTATGATCCTATTTGTTGGAATTGTGCAACATATCAAAAAAGGCCTTTTCCTGACGAGTCTGTCGACTTCGAAAATATTTTAAAGAAAATTATTTTAATTTCCAGTCATTGGTTTATGCCTTTACATTGTTGGCGGTATTCTGGAGATGGATGGTCATTTGAATCACCCCTCCCTGAATGGGCTATTCAACATTCTGATCTAATTCAAAATAATATACAGGAAAATAAAAAGGAAATACAAAAAATAACTGCCTAAATTGTTTTGAAATTTTTAACTTGTTTATTGTATAGGTTTATTAATGTATGTTATTAAAATCTTTTAAATTTGTATTTCTAGTCGTGTAAAATCCGTTCTTGAATTTCTAAAATATTGTGTCAGAATTAACAGAAATTGATTGGAATAAGACAATTATCCTAGACCGTTTTTAGCGGACAAATTTCTGAATACTTTTTTACCGGGCTTTTAGTACACCTTTTCCACCTGTTTTTACCTCCCTGATCTTTAGTTGGCGAATACGCAAATGAAAAAAAATTTTCCGCAGCCGCAATTTTAATTTTAAAACCCGCAGTCCGTAAGTCAAAAAACCCACGTAATCCGCAATTGTGTGCAGCGCGCTCAAAAAGCGGATATTCTAAAATTTCTATTCGGATATACAAGTTTTCTCTAGACGATTTTCCTGGGCTATTTGGGGCAATTAATAAAATTTTGCTGAGGTATATTTAATTTATCAAAAAAAAAGAGAAATGAAAATAATTGTAGTGACAAAATAAATGCAAAAATAAAATTAAAACAAAAAAAGGTAATAGCACAAAGTGAGTGGAAAAAAAGAGGGAAAGTGACTTTTTGTTTTTAAAATTTTAATCATCAGTCTTTGAAATTTTACAAGCTTGCATTTCATATTCAAAACAGACTTCCAATAATTTCTTTAAAAAATAAAATATTTTTTTAGTCTTTTAAGTCCAAAATTTTTAAACTTACTTTTCGCATTTGCACGCACAAAAAAGCATCTTTCTTTGCAACCATTTGGAGTTGATGGACAATACAACGACCTAAAATAATAGTTGTTTTGAACTTGAGAAGATTAGGAATAAGAGTGTTAATTAATTTTTAGGATTTTTGAGCTTATTTATTGTTAGAAAGATTATTTTTTCGAAAAAGTTTGGGTGGAAAGAGTTCGAGGAAATAAAAACTTGAAGTCATTTTTCGTCGGAGAAGAATATTTGTGGACAGGGTTGGGGGCCCGATCCGGTACGGTCCAAAAGATCGAGTCGGGCATTGAATTTTGGCACGAAAAAGATTCGGTCGGACCGGTCCGAGAGAAATGACTCGAACGTCGGCCCGACTCGAAAACCCCAACCTGGACAGACAAAGGATTGTTTAATAAACAAAAATACTTCTAGGTATTTTGTTCGCAAAAATTTTTCAAAAATTAAAAGGAAAACATTTTTGGATTTAAATAAAGTTTATCCTCAAATGTCTCTTCACTCAATTTCCCTTACAAAAACACACATTCAAACTCACCAAAAGATTCATTAACATCATCAATCGTTCCCCCTCCACCTCCACAAACAGAATTAGTACCACAAATAGTAACTCCTCCCCCACTTCCTTCACTTCCACTTAACGAATTTGTATTTAATAATTTAGTTTTTGTTGTATTTGAAGGTTCTAAAGGCGCTGGAGAATAAGAGGAACGTTGCTGTTGACGTTGATGTTGTTGAGGATTGTGGTTATCATGTCCGTTAGTAGTAATTTGCCCATTTGTCACTTCAATACGTTGTCGAAGTAATAAATCCAAACCACTCAACGAATCAGCTAAAAATTAAAAATAAAATTTTTTCCTCAAAAATAATCAAATCTCAAAATAAGACACCCCCAAAATTATATAACTATACCCTCAATTAAGAAATGTTTTTAAATAAAACTTGATAGTCACTGGGTGGAGGAGGAGATGTCTAAATAGCAGAAAAACATATGGGGAGGGCATATCGAGATTGCGGTTTACGTTAGTTCTAAAACATCCAAAGAACAATGGACTGTTATAGACCCGATGGTCCGATATATCCGACTCCCCTCTACTAAACACTCCTCCCCTCCAGGGCTGCACGCAATTGCGGATTGCGAGTTGCAGATTGCGATTTTTTTCAATTGCGCGCAGCCCTGCTCCCCTCCCCTCTTCCCTTCCCAATTTAAGAAAACCTTTTACTCAACCCGTGCCATCCCTATTATAAGGTAAATGATTTTTCAGCTCCCAAGGGGTGCCCTTTAACGATCTTAACGAGATATCTTTCTTTACTTACCATAAATATCATCCTTCTTTCTCTTCCTTTTTCCCTTCAAATTTTCATTAGTAACAACAATATCCTCATTATTTTCTTCCCCTCGAATATTTTGTTGACGCTTATTTTGTTGTTCAATTTCAACATTTTTTAACTCTTCATTTTCTTCTTTTGATTTTTTATTTAAATCAGTATCCACAATAATTGTCTCAATATCATCCTCCATTTTTTGTGGGTGAAATTGTTCATTTAAAGCATTAAAATTAGACAAAAGCAAATCTTGAGGAGCGAAAGAACTGAGTAAATTAGACATTAATAAATCATTTGTTGATTGAGTTTTGGGGTTAGACAGACTAGACAAACTAAGGAAAAAAAATTTTTTGAAATAAAAAAAAAATTTTTATTACTCTTCTTCAATAGCCAAATAACTATTTGTTGATTTGTTGTGTTTGTGAGTAATTGCCGATGATGTTAAGCCTCCTCTCATACCTTTTCGACTACGACGAATTTTGTGAGTATCAGGTTCCTCACTGCTTAATTAAAAATTAATTTAAAATAATTTTTTTATCTTTCTTTTAATTGAAGAAACTATTGAAATGCCCCAAAGTTTCTGAAGGGTATACCCAAATTGCTCTTTTAGTTTAAGATCAATCACCGTATTTACTAGAGTGCGGACGGGATAGGATCCCGAACGGGGTTTTACGCTGTCCCAAAATCTCATATTTTAAGCAACAAACGGGATTAGCGGGATTAATCTCGCGGAATCCTGTCCCGTAAAAATTTAAAAAATCCTGTTACGGGGCCCCGGGAATGCGATTTTTCCGCACTCTAGTATTTATTCAAATAATTACCCTCCCTCAATAAATAGCTCACCCAACGAGAGGCTAAAACAATAACTACCCTGATAATTATTTGGACATATACACTATGAAATTGGTCTTCCCGTTTTAAGACCACATTATTGGAAACATATCAAGCTTTCTATAATGAAGCCCGATTGCCTAATTTCAATTCAAAAACAATAAAAAAACACCTATTTTGTCGTGTATTCCCTTTATTGTTAACATCCCCAACTCCATCATCTCCACCATAATTACTTCCACCACCACCTCCTCCCCCTCGAGTACTACACAATTGCAAAGCCACTCCTTCCAACAAAAAATTCATAGGTTGCCAATATGGCCAAGTAATTAATTGATGGTCCGGATTTAATTGTAAAACAGTCCCGTTTGGGCTAATATATCCTTCATCATAAAGTTTTTTGACTATTCGAGTAAAACAATAACGAAGTTTCCCCCACTCTTCTTGTACTTGGATTCCTTTAAAAATTAATTTTTTAAGAAAATTTTTATTTATTTTCTCCCTCACTTGTAAAAATTTCTGCTCCGCCCTCAGAAAGCAATTCGGCGACCTCATTGAATGCACCCTGACGTGTCGGATTGCTTCGAAAACCTTCGTAAGAACTGTCCCAAATTTGTGGACGTTCATGTATAGCTTCTAAAAGATTAGAGAATTTTAAATAAAAGTCAAGAATCCCCTCACCAATTAATTTCATTTTCTGTTCAGAATTCAAAGAAACACCGGAACGATTCATTTTTGTTTTGTTTTGGGAAGACAAAAGGTCGGTAAAATTATCCTGAAAAATAACAAAATATAAGCAAGAAGAGGTATTTTAAAAAGCAAATTAAACAAAAATATATACAAATTATTTATAAAAGTAGATAAGCTAACTTACCACCATTTTTACAAGGTTAAAAAAATTAAGACAATTAGTAAATAAAGAATAAATACTTTAACAAATCTGAAAAAACGAATTACAGTAAAAATAAACAGAATGCCAACAAAAATAGCGATAATTTAATGGGTAAATTTGAACTTTGACGGAGTTCAGCAGATGAGATTGCTTAATTCCCGTATCTTTTTCGTTTCTTTAAAGTTTTCCAAACTTAAAAACAACGGTTATAAACATAACAAAGATTAAATGCTTATGAAGATAAAGGTAAAGGAAAAGGGTAGGAAATAGGCTAACCAAAAACTAAAAGGCTTAAAAATTAGACATAACTCAAATGTTTATCACAAAAAATTACCAAAATTGCAACCCCAAAAATGACAAAAAAAAAGAAAAAAAAAACAAAAAAATAGGGGAATAGAACACAAAAATGGCGAAAATAAAAACATTTAAGTATGTGTAGTATATAATAGTACAATCATGTGTTTACATGTTTACCCCTAACTTTTTCCCCATTATTAAAAAGTAAAGGGGGAAAAAGAAGAAAAAAATAAGGGTTGTTTTTCTGTTTTTTGGAGAAAAATAATGTTTCTAACTACAAAATGATCTACTAAAAATGAAAACAACTCTTTTCTTGTTATTTTTTATTTTTACCTAATTATCGGTCAGAAAATGTATTTATGTATCTTTTTTTATAAAGAAAAAATGTTTTCCCTTAAAGAAAGTATTTTTTCTTTCAAAACAAACATCAGAAGCAGGGCTGCCCGCAAGTGAAAAAAATTTTCCTCAGCCGCAATCAGCAGTCCACAATTTCGGACTGCTCTGATCCGAATTGCAAGAAAATTCAAATTTCAATGTTTAGAATCAGAAAAAAACACCTTTTTTTTGACTTGGTAAAGGACATGGATTTTGGTATCCGGATCCGGGTATTTACGGCGGATACAGACGGATATCCGCGGGAATTTTGAACTTTTTTGTATCCATATCCGTATCAGGGCTGCACGCAATCGAAAAAAAGGTTCCGCAACTCGCAATCCGCAGCACGCAATCGAAAAGAAGGCTCGCAATCCGCAATTTTTTTAAAAAAATCCGCACCTGCAATCCGCAACTCGCAATCCGCATTTGCGTGCAGCCCTAATCCGTATCCGTTACCAAGCCTGCTTTTTTTGTTGTTGTGAATCCTCTTTATAGGGAAAACAAAATTATATTTCGCAATTTAAAAATAACAAAAACATCAAAACAAGACGAGAAGGTGGCAGGATTGAAAAATATAAAAGAGAATGAGCGCTCCAACGGACATTTGGCTCTGTTGTTTGTGAAAGGAAAAAAAAGGGGGGGGGGGATTGTTGTTGTTTTTAATGTTTTCAATGCTTTGTGTGTGTGTACATTTTGTGTGTGTGCACAAAACTGTCAATTTACTTCTACTACTCTTCTACTTCTAAAATACTTAAGCAGCCAATAATACAGCCTCTATTATGTATGTAAAGGGTCAACGGGCAAAAAGGGAGGTTGTTTTTCGGGTTGTTTTTATAATTTTATCCGTTTAGTTGGCAGTCCTAGGCAATAGAAACATTTAACAGAAGGAAAGGGAGAGCTAAATAAGTTTAGCACTGTTGGGCGCATTTTGGGCTATTTTGAAAATCCAAATAACAACAACGTAACTTTTTCTTCCTAGCCTTGTTTTTTCATTTTATTTATCATTTTAGATAAGGTAATCTCAACAGCAACAAAAACATGAGGACTTAAAAGCCTAGTAAACTCAAAACCCTAGTAAAATCATTCTCTCCCATCATTTTTAAAAAATTAGAAACACACCTAATATTTCAACTAACAAATTGTTTAATCAAAACAACAAACATATAAAAGTTTCCCCCCAAAAAATTCAAAAATAAAGAAATAATTTATTTTAAAGGACAACAAAAACTTTTAAAAAATTTCTTTTAAAATAAAAATTAAAACATTTGAGAGGCTAAATTTAAAAAAAAATTTTTTTAATGAAGATAGAAAATTTCAATAAATGGATTTTAGTTGAGAGGGAAGAAATTAAAATGGCAAACGTCTAATAAGTAGTTGTGTGGCAAATAAAAGGGGAAGATTGCGGGTGGCGCGAGAAACACTCATTCACCCCCCCCCCCCCCCTCCCCTCCTTCCCAAAAAATTTTTTCTTGCGCGAGTTGTTATAATGCGTGCGTGTTTTAGGGTGGAGAAAAAATATTTTTGGGGGGAGAGGAGGGGGGAGTTTATGTTGAGAAGCGCCGTTTGTGTCAATGTTTGCGTGGATTTGGGTTTGAGGGGAGAGGGAGATGCTTGTAGTGGATGTGTGGAGGGAGTGGGGAGATGTCAGGAATGGATTTAGAGGATAAGAAAAAGTGGAAAAAATTGTTTGAATAAACATTCTAGTGTATGTTTTGAATAAAAATTTATTTAAAATAAAAAATTTTAGCACCCCAAGAGGGCAAATTTTATAAGAACAGAAACTAATTAGGCAAGGATTAATCCTCTAATTTTGAAAAATAATCTTTTTAAATATAAATCCTAGGCGAGATAACTACCGTATTTCTTCTAATAGTGCGACTCTCTCTATTAGACTGACCCCTTCTAATAAACCGACCCTCTAGAGGAAGATTGAAAAATAAACCGACCGGTCGCACTATTAGAAGAAATACGGTATTTCTTCTAAATTTAAACAAAAAATTAGAGTAAAAACATTTCAAACAGCAAAGAATAAAAAAGAAAAATATTTTTAAAAACAAGTTTTGTTCATCTAAATAAACCCTTTTAACAACAACAAAAATGCTTTTAATGTTTAAATCCGAGATGTGAATAAATGGAAAAAAGAAAAGAGGAAAATTGGGCACAAATGGTTGTGTGTAAAAGTAAGTAGTATGTAGAGGTGCTCCCAACATTAAAGCTCTCACAAACATTGACGCGCCCAACAAACAACGCTTAACATAAAACGAAATGAGAGAGAGAAATAGTGTGAATAAATGAGAGAGACAACAAAAAAATTTTTTTAGAAAAAAGACATTAGAAAACATATAAACAACAAGAAGGACGTTAAGGACTTTTTTTTATATTTGTGAATTTCACAAACAAAACAGCGACGCGACGAACCAAACAAACATATATATAAAAATATACACACTCTTTTGTGTTTGTGTCTGATTGTAAAACTACCCTAAAACTTATACATATTCATAAAAAGCCTCTTTTCTTTCCTTTGTGAAAATAAAAAAATACAATGTTTATTGCTTTTTCCACCCAAACATTGAAAAAAAAGAAAACATTAATGTGTTTAATTATTTGTTTTTGGAATATAGTATTTTATTTCATATTGTAATATTTTTACAATTACAATCGAGTTTGCTCCATGGGAATGAGAGACATAACTTTCATCGATATTTTTTCAGGTATCGCCTTTTGAGAGGCGATACCTGAAAAACACATATATTAATTTTTTTAATTTTAAATAATTTTCAATTTAATCTTAAAATAATTTTAAAATTATTTGATATTGCCGCATGTCCGATCTCTAATCGACTCCCATCAATGGGCAACAAAAATCCAAAAACGTCAACTAAAAAATTCTTTTCTAATTTTTTAAATTTTTTCCCTTGCTCTTTCTGCTTTCTAAACTTTATCAATTTTTGAAAACTCCAAGTTAATGTTATTTACATTATATGGAATAATGTAAATTTAAAAAAATTTATTTTTCAGATAAAAACAATTTTATCTTCTTTATTATTTTGATTTGACATATCATCATCATGGTTGTTTGTGTTCCAACGTATATTTTTAATTGTTTAGAATTTTTTAAAATAATTTTTAGGAAAATGAGATTCGATTTCTCTTCATAAAAATTTTCCCAATATTTCTAGATTCCCCCCTCAAGGGCATCAAATTTTCGAAAGATGTGAGGTCACAAAAAAGTTCAATTTTGGACAGGATGTGGCCAAGTTTTTAGAGAAGCTGGAGTACTCAGAAGAATTACAAGAACCTATTTTGTTCATTGACTTTTTGGGAATGAATCAAAATCAACGGGAGACTATACTTAATTTTATGGTTAGTTTTATGATGTAAGAGTAAATCTTTCTTATGAATCCCTGGGTGATCGAATAATGATATTCTTACGTTTTTGCCAAGTTTAATAAATCAATACAAAATTATCTAACCTAAAATCAACCACTTTGGAGGTGTAACAAAATCTTAAATTATTTTCTGCAGGTCCAACAAGGAGCAACAATTGTTGGTACATCAGGCACCGTTGTTAAGTTTGACGACTTTGGACAGTTTTATGAGGCTCAACAAGAATTGAGAGATGCACACCCATGGGCTTTCTATTCTTCTCCGAACAACACTTGGTCTCCTCTTCAACGCGTGCAAACTATAAGAACCGCCGTTATGTATTTATACTCTGAAAACAAGTTTGTCAGTAGTGATATACAATTTTTCGAAGTTTGATGAGTTAAATGTCATCTGATTGTGAGAAAGAAATCTCGTTAAATTATGCTATAAATTTTAATTTTGAATAGCTAGTTTTTTCAGGGTTTACGCTAGAGTTAGAAGTTTGTAAGATGCCGGATCCGATCCGGATCTTTAATTTTTTAAACATCAGGACCGTATTTTCCGGCTCAAAATCCGCAAATCCGAATCTTTTAAGACTCGAACTTTCAAAAAAATTTCGTCATAAAATTTTGCAAGAAATATGCGAATTAGTTTAAAATTAAGCAGATTGTGGAGCATTTAGACATTCGTGACTTTAAACAAGAGTTGTTGAGGGGCATCAAAAGGACTCACTTCTAATCCCTCTATATCTCTCATGGTATTATACTTTTTATATTGAACCCGGACGGATCCGGGGTTTTCGGACGCGACTCGGACGGGATTTTCGATTAAAAAAACGGAAAACCCAATTTTTATCAAAAAAAATCAACCCAATTCAAAAAAAAATTAAATTTATTTTTTTTAATAAAATTAATAAACAAACCAAAAATAACAAAAAATAAATACTTTCTCCTTTTAAATTTGTAATGGAGCCAATTCATCTTCGTCTATACTCATTTCACATTGTTGAATTACTAAACTTGCTACTTCATCTGCTATCGATGTTTGTAACAAATCTTTAATTTTATATTGAGTTGAGGCATTATATGCAAATATTATTGTTGTGTCATAAAGAGGAATTGAATTTCTTGATAATCTTTAAATTTTTTAAAATAAATTTGAAAAATTAAGAAAACTTACAATTTAATACAATTTGCAGTTCTAGCTATAATTTCTCTTGTTACAAAAGGAACTAATTCTGTATCATCTACATAACCACCTGTTCCTTGTTCATCTACACCTTTCAAACGAGAAATCCAAATATTTCTAAAAATAAGTTTTGAAATTATAACCGTTGAAATTATCCTAATTTTATTATTCTAATTTGTGAATCTTTTATAATTTTATTTTCATAGATTAAATCAGAAATGTAGCAAGGGAAATGGAAGGGGATCGAAATCGGAAATTTTTTGGCAGAATCCAAATTTTCGTTTTCGTCATAAAAATAAAATTTTTTGTTTCAACGCCAAAAATAAAGTCAAACATTACGAAAAAATGATACGGGTATGCAAGGGCGTAGCCAGGGGGCTTCTGGGGCTAGGTCCCCCCTCCCCCCCCCCCATCCCGAAATGGGGTTAATTTTGAAGAGGGGTTTGCGCAATTCAAAATTCCAATTTTCAAAAATAATTTTGCCTGCGGCGCTGAAAATGGAAGCCCCCTCTGAAATCGACCGCCTAGCTACGCCCTTGCAGGTATGGATTAATTTGTGGTTTATTGTTAATTTATATTTAATAATATAAAAAAGAAATACCCGTTGCATCCCAAAATAACTGAGGCACCAAAAGGTAAATTGTGAAAATGTGTTTTTCGTTTTCGTACCAAATGTGGAAAGACTCGTACCAAAATTCCTTGGCCTAATTTTCCATATTTAAGACTTCTGGTGTGGAGAGACAAAGCTCCATCATGAAAAGTTTGTTGTATCTTTAAAAATTTTTCAACCCAAATTAAAATAAAGTTAAACCTCAGCACTAACTAAATCTCCTTCCTTCAAATATTCCCTCATCATAAATTCGTCTTCTATCGATTTTCTTCTCAATTCACCGCCAAGTAAATTTACACTAGTTAATTGGAGAATGCTGTGCACTCTGGCATTTATATCGACTCTCCAACGTTTTTGTTGAACATCTACAATTCTTCCAACAATTACATCACCAATTTCGCCTTGATACCTAAAGAAATTTTGAAAAAATTAAATTTCTATTCAGATTTAAAAAAATTCCCAGACCTGGATTTAACAGGTTTTACACGTATTAACTTGTTAGTTTGCATAACAACTCCAGCTAGAGAAGAAAGCAGAGATTCTCCTTCCAAATAAGTGCCGTGACCACGCATTAAACTTCAAAAAACTACTTTGTATTTATAAAAAATTAATTTTAAAAACCCTTTCGCAGAACTAATTACAGCCCCAGGAACTGTTAATTGTAGTCTAGAACGTCCAGAAGTATCAGCATAATTATTTGAGTCCTTAAAATAATTAAAATATAAATTTATTTTAAAAATAAAAAAACCTGTTGAAAACAGTCGGCAGCAATTGACAAAACTTTTTTATTGTTTGGAGGGTCTCCAAATATTATTTCCTGCTTTTTATCTTGAGCTGACATAGAAGAATAAATTTAAAAAAAGACAACTTTTTTCAGGATTTTTGAAAGAAACTGAAAAAAAAAATTAAAAATTATCATTCTTTAATTTTCCAAAACGGCGCGCCGAAGTTTCGTCCCACCTTGGATTCGTCCCAGCTAAAAATTCGTCCCATCTCAAAATGCCCAAAGCGTAAAAATACTCAATTCGTCTAATTATAAATTTAACAGTAAAAATTTAAAAAATAGCCCATACACATTTATGGTGGCACGAATTTTCGTCAACGGACTTTCCGTCAATGGACTTTCCGTCAACGACTTTTCGTCAATGAGTGGATGTTTTTTTAATTTTGAGAGAAATAGAAGATGATACATGTATGTAAAAGTGTTGTCAGATTGAAAATTAGACTTATTTGACAATTCTAACAAAGTTATAAGCAATTGTGTCACTACGAAGGATAGGTAGTCTTTTCAAGGTTGAAAATCGGTAAAAATGAATAGGTTTATGTTACTGGTGTAGAACCCAGCGACCTTTGACTCCCCGCGAGGCGCGTGCCGCAACCTCGCCGATGCCCCATAGGTTATTCGAGAGTATTTGAAGAAATAAGGAATCTTATACAAAATTGGGCACATAATTTAGTTATTTGAACAGGCTGATTAATTTCCTAAATTTTTTAAAAACGATCATTTATTGATGAAAAGTCCGTCCATTGACGAAAAGTATTGACGGAAAGTCCAATAACGGAAAGTCCGTTGACGAAAAGTCGGGGAGCCCACATTTATTATTAATTTTCTCACACTACTTATAATTAATCTTATGTATCAATTGAAAATAAACTTTTATTTGTCTAAACCTTCACGCCCTAAACTAACATTTATAAACCAAAATACAGTCGTGGAAAAAAGTATGGAAGCGCTAGAAAATTTTTTCTTAATTCTTAATTTTTCATTCAAAAAATACGATCTATATATCAATCGAAAGCTCTATTCGTATCTCAGTTGACATGTTTCTGCATTTTTCATAAAAATGAAAATTGGCCGAGATAATCCGGATCTACCGGATATACCAAATCCCATTTTTTCGGAAAAATTTTTCGGAACAAATTTAACAAACCCAAATGATAAAGCATATTTTTCTGAGTATTTTCCATAAAACCGCTTAGAAATATCTTTTTCCGGAGCAGAGATATGATTTTTTGAAAATGGCATTTTTCGCTTAAAAATAGAATTTTTTGCAAAAATAGACGAAAAATACGATTTTCAAAAAATCATATCTCTGGACCGGAAAAGGATATTTCTAAGCGGTTTTGTGGAAAATGCTCACAAAAATATGCTTTATCATTTGGGTTTGTTAAATTTGTTCCGAAAAATTTTTCCGAAAAAATGGGATTTGGTATATCCGGTAGATCCGGATTATCTCGACCAATTTTCATTTTTATGAAAAATGCAGAAACATGTCAACTGAGATACGAATAGAGCTTTCGATTGGTATATAGGACGTATTTTTTGAATGAAAAATTAAGAATTAAGAAAAAATTTTCTAGCGCTTCCATACTTTTTTCCACGACTGTATGTCTCAACTCGGCCCCATTATTTATTTATTTTTTAAATTTTAACTTAATTTAGAATAATTTATATGTTAAAAAATTTATTTTTTTAGATAAAAACAATTTTGTTGTTCTCTTTATTATTTTAATTTTACATCATCATGGCTCCTGTTCCAACGTATCCCTATTTATACTAGTTGCTTAGAATCTTTTATTATTGATTTTTAGGAAGCAAGAGGGAGGTCAAATTCTGAAAAGGTGTGAGGTTGCAAAAAAATTTAATTTGGGCGAGGATGTTGGTCAATTTTTCGAGACACTCAAGTATTCAGAAGAAGACCCAACACCGATACTTGTCATTGATTATCTGCAAATGAATCAACATCAAAAGCAAATCATCATTAATTTCTTTGTTTGTTTTATAATTTAGACATTTTTACAATTTTTGTAAGTAGAATTGGTTTGAGTGTGTATAGGGGCAGTTGCTTGAGAGACAAATAAATTTGTTGGAGTTCGCTCAAACAAGCACACACTTAAGCGACAGGCACTCAACTACAACAAAATCATAAATTATTTTTTCAGGCTCTACGGGGAGCAACAATAGTTGGTACATCAGGCACCGTTATTAAGTTCGACAATTTGGGTCAATTTATGGAGTCTCAACTGGCATTGAGAAAAGCACATCCATGGGCGTTTTATTCGGATCCTAACAACGTTTGTACAACCTACTCACGTATTCAGACTATAAGAACCGATGTTATAACTTTCTTCTCTCCAAGCAAATTTGTCACTGGAGCGACACAATATTTCGAAGTTTGAGGAATGAATTACATATAAGACAAAAATCTCTTTATTTTTGTTTCATCTAAAAGACACAGTTTTTGGCTATATTAAAATGTTTCTTTTTTGTTTTTTTTGTTTCATTATTTTTAACTGCTTGAGTTAAGCAAGTAGTTCTTGTCTGGTTTTAAATTTTTAGGGAATGAATCCCGCATCTAAATTTGCATTTCTCGTTCTTATTTTAGTTATCGAACCTAGTGACAATCGAGAAAATGATCGTTCGAGAATCTCCTGTTATTTATGGTATCAAACAAGTGATTGAGCGAGTGATATGAGAATCCGCAATCGGTTAATCCGCTATTTGTGGTCGATCAAACCTTAGTATCGTCAAACAATACCTTTAGAGATCAATCGTAGGGTTGTCGATTTCAACAGATTCAACGGTTAACTCGAACCGAAAATTTTTTCGAGGATTAATGAGTTATTAAGGATTAGTTATCACTTAAATACCTCGTTTGCAAGGATACCGGAGATTAAATAAGATTTGGAAAGATGTAGCCGTATTTTTGGCTATAACTTTTTCAATTCCTAATCGATTTAGATAATTAATAGTTCAATCGAAAGTTCTTGATGTAAGGATTATTTTTCTAGCAGATTTGTTCTGATCAGATCAACTTACAAAAACTTACAGCCTAATAAAGGTCAAAAATCACGATTGCGCGCATTTAATTACCCAAGTTTAAGATTTCAGATTATTGATTTATTGGAAACGCCACTATGGCGAATAAAAATGAAATGCAACAAATTTTAAATAAATTAATTTCTATTGAACAACGAATTTCAAAAATTGAAAAAGCACAAGAACAGCAGCAAACAACGACAACATCATCGATTGATGTTTCAGCAGAAAAAATAAATAAAAATTCTTTAGAAATAAGAAAATGGAATAGAAAATAATTATTTTATCACACAAAGAACATCTTAAAAGCTACCGAGTCTTAATTCTAGGCTTTTCTTGGGGTTTTTCTGACTTAGGATGAAGTTTTGGTCTCGACTTTTTTTCTCCAAGCAACAAAATTTTTTAAAAAATGAGTCAAATAAACAAAAATTTATCAAAAAAAAAATAAATAGAAGTCAATGCCTCGTTTCACTTATTAGATTTGTGGCCCTAAAGAGGGCCGTTTGGGGTAGGTTGTTGAAGGCTGTGCCTGATATGTCTTAGCAAATCCGTCAGCAGAATCACCTCAGTAGCAAACTGCTCGACACACATAAAAAAAATTCCAGGACTGGATTGCCTTGAATTAAAAAATTTAAAAATATGCTCCCCTAAAAATATGCTATAGCTCCCTCTTGAAATGGGAAAATAAAAAAATTTCAAAAAACTAAAAAATAAACCATGTGTCAGTAGTAGAAACATTTCCATTCAGCGTAGAATTCTCGCAGTCCGAAATTTTAAAGAAAATTGAAGAAATTTAAGAATTTTAAAAAATTAAAAAATTTTTGATTTTCTATTAAAAATTTTTTTTTCGTTACTAATTGTTGTTGGTTATTGCTAATTGTTGTGGAAGACCACCTAAAGAACCTAGAAAATATTTAAAACAAAAAAATAAACAATAACAATCATTGGTACAACAATAAAAACCATTGGGGACTGAAATGTCCCCATATAGGGGGGACTGAAACGGCGGGACTGAAATGGCTGGGACTGAAATGGCACGGGACTGAAATGGCAGGACTGAAATGGCGGGACTGAAACGGCGGGACTGAAATGGCGGGACTGAAGTGGGACGTTCCGTAAAAAACGTCAACAAAAAATTTTCATTTGCAAATTTTATTTATAAAATGATGATTTTATAAAAGCTACGTTGTTTTAACATCAACGGTATTTAAAAATATAAGAACTTTCTTGTTCTTTTTCCTATTGTTTTACCCAAACTTCAATTAATTTTAAAAAATTCCAAGTCTAATATGGAATTGTTTTATTTTTAAAAAGAATTTTATTTTTCAGATTAAAAAGCAATTTTGTTGTTCTCTTTATTTTATTTTGATTTGTCATCATGGCTTCTGTTCCAACGTATTTTTTACTGGCCTGGATCCTTTCCTTAATAATTATTTTTTAGTAAGCAGGATGAGAAGACTAAACGTAATGAAGAGTTAGCTACTGCTATTCTCAAAAACAAACCAAAGCCAAATCGATTAATTGTTGATACCAATCCAAATGATGACAACAGCACAGTTTGTCTGTCTCAGGCTAAGATGGATGAACTTAACATCTTTCGAGGGGACACTGTTTTCCTTAAAGGAAAGAAGCGTCGTGAGACAGCTTGTGTTGTTCTTGCATCTGAGACTTGCCCAAACGAGAAAATTTTGATGAATCGTGTCGTTCGCACAAACTTACGTGTTAAGCTTGGTGACGTTGTTTGGTAATATTTAGTTTATTATAAAGTTGAGATTAATTTGAGTACATGCCATGGGTTTGTCTTATCATTTCTGAGTTCCTTAGGTCCTTTTTCGACTCCATTCCCAGAATTCTTTCAGTTAACCTGAAACTTAAATAATTTATACTTTAAGCGTTGTGCCAGCCTCGAACATCCCAAATGGTATCCGCATTCATGTTTTGCCAATTGACGACACCGTTGAAGGTCTTACTGGGTAAGAACACTTGACTCTTGTTATGGTTTCCTTATCTCATTTTCAGAAATCTTTTTGAAGTCTACCTCAAACCCTATTTTGTCGAAATGTATCGACCTGTTTACAAGGGTGACACTTTTACTGTGAGCGCAGCTATGAGGACCGTTGAATTTAAAGTTTGTTTATATTGAATAGTTTATAAGTCAATCTTTTTTTAAGGTTATTGAGGTTGACCCCAGTCCAGCGTGCATTGTTGCTCCATCAACGATAATTCATTGTGAAGGTGATCCAATTAAACGAGAAGATGAGGAAGGGAATCTTAATGAGGTTGGCTATGATGACATTGGTGGAATGCGTAAGCAGTTGGCACAAATCAAGGAAATGGTTGAACTTCCTTTGCGTCATCCACAACTCTTTAAATCTATTGGAATCAAACCGCCGCGTGGAATGTTGCTCTTTGGACCACCTGGAACAGGAAAAACGTTGGTTGCTCGAGCTGTAGCTAATGAAACCGGAGCGTTTTTCTTTTTGCTCAATGGTAATCTTGAGAACGTTTGAGTTTTTCATCAATTTTTATTTTTAGGTCCTGAAATTATGTCTAAACTTGCTGGTGAGTCTGAGTCGAATTTGCGTAAGGCTTTCTCGGAGTGCGAAAAGAATTCGCCAGCTATTTTGTTTATTGATGAAATTGACGCTATTGCTCCAAAACGTGAAAAGGTTTATTCAGGATCTTTTCTATTTGATTATTTTACGTTTAATCTAGACTCATGGTGAAGTTGAACGTCGTATTGTTTCTCAACTTCTCACTCTTATGGATGGATTAAAGCAGCGTTCTAATGTTATCGTTATTGGAGCTACTAACCGTCCTAACTCTATCGATCCGGCTTTGCGTCGTTTTGGTCGTTTCGATCGAGAAATTGACATTGGGTATTTAATAATGTTTAATTATTTTATTTTCATTTATTAATTTAGAATTCCTGATGCAATTGGACGTCTTGAAATTCTTCGAATTCACACAAAGAATATGAAATTGGCTGATGATGTTGACTTGGAAAGGATTGCAAACGAATGCCACGGTTATGTTGGTGCCGATCTTGCCGCTCTTTGTTCTGAAGCTGCAATGCAGCAAATTCGTCAGAAGATGGAATTGATTGATCTTGAAGCGGAACAGATTGATGCAGAAGTATTGAATATGTTGGCTGTTACTATGGATGACTTCCAGTTTGCTCTTGGAAAGAACAGTCCATCTGCTCTTCGTGAAACTGTTGTAGAAACTCCAAATATCTCTTGGGATGACATTGGTGGTTTGGAAGGAGTTAAGCGCGAGTTGCAAGAGTTGGTTCAGGTTGGATTTTTCTCATACTAAATTCTTTCAATAAAATTTTAATTTAATTTGCAGTATCCAGTGGAGCATCCTGAAATGTTTCTCAAGTTTGGAATGCAACCATCCCGCGGTGTTCTCTTCTATGGACCGCCTGGATGTGGTAAAACGTTGTTGGCTAAGGCTATTGCTCATGAATGTCAAGCTAACTTCATCAGTATTAAGGTAATTTTCGAACAATTTTACATGTAAAAATTCCTTATGCAGGGACCTGAGTTATTGACAATGTGGTTTGGTGAATCTGAAGCTAATGTTCGTGACGTGTTTGACAAGGCGCGTGCTGCTGCTCCATGTGTTCTTTTCTTTGACGAACTTGATTCGATTGCAAAGTCTCGTGGAGGAAATATTGGAGATGCTGGGGGAGCTGCGGATCGGGTTATTAATCAAGTTTTGACGGAAATGGATGGAATGGGGTCAAAGAAGAATGTTTTTATTATTGGAGCTACCAATCGGTTATTTTATTTATGATTTTATATTTATTTTAATTTTCTGTATTTAGTCCCGATATCATTGACCCGGCAATTCTTCGTCCTGGACGTCTTGACCAACTTATTTACATTCCACTTCCAGACGAGGCAAGCCGTCTCCAAATCTTTAAGGCAAATTTGCGCAAAACGCCAATTGCAAGCGATGTTGATCTTAACTTTTTGGCAAAGACAACAGTTGGTTTCTCTGGTGCCGATCTTAATGAAATCTGCCAGCGTGCTTGCAAACTTGGAATTCGAGAATCGATTGAAAAGGCGGTTGTGAAAGAAAAGGAGCGTCAATTGCGTGCCCAAAAAGGTGAAGAATTGATGGAGGAGGCTGATGAAGATCCGGTTCCCGAACTTACGCGAAAACACTTCGAAGAGGTTAGAAAGGGAGATACGGATGTTTATTAAGTTATTAAATTTTAGGCAATGAAGTTTGCTCGTCGCTCGGTTTCTGATAATGATATTCGTAAATATGAGATGTTCGCTCAAACACTGCAACAACAGCGTGGTTTTGGAACAAATTTCAAGTTCCCTGGCGGGAAACCAGCTGGTGG